TTGTCATGTTTATTGGGACACCCTGTATCACTGCCATGTTTACTGGGACACCCTGTATCATTTCCATGTTTACTGGGACACCCTGTATCATTGTCATGTTTATTGTAGACACCCTTTATCATTGTCATGTTCACTGGGACACCCTGTATCAATGTCGTGTTTATTTGAAACACGCTGTATCTGACTATACAATCTTGAATCTTGAATATATATATTTGACCTACTGCACACTATTCAGTGATATAGAAGGTAAAAAGAATTTAGAATTCACAAGATATCTCTGCCAATTAATTTCTAAACTTTCAGTCTCAATTCATGTCTTTCTAACTTTTTATCTATCTATCTATTTATCTATCTATTAATCTATCTAACTAACCATCTATCTATCTATACTATCTATCTATATATCTATTATACATCTATTTAAATATCTATCTATCTTTCTTTACATATACTATATAATCTATCTATTTATCTACCTTTTACATGGCAATGATACAGGGTGTCCCAAATAAACATGACAATGATACAGGGTGTCCCAGTAAACATGACAATGATACAGAAGTCCCAGTAAGCATGACAATGATAGAGAGTGTCCCAGTAAGCATGGCAATGATGCAGGATGTCCCACTGATCAAGACATTGATACAGGGTGTCCTACGGAACATGACGATATTACAGGGTGTCCCAGTAAACATGATAATGATAAAGGGTGTCCCAAAAAAATGTGACATTGCTACAGAGTGTCCCAAGTAAACATAACAATGCTACAGGGTGTCCCAATATACATGAAAATGCTAAAGGGCATGTCCTGCGGAACATGAAAATGATACAGAGTGTCCCAAATAAGCATAATAATGATACAGGGTGTCCCAGATGCAGGAATATATAATATAGTGTATACGGTGAATAATGATTTGTAATTGGCTACTGGTCTGGTTTTCATCCTCAGCTAATGAATACATAATAATTCAGACTTGGCATATCTATACACAGACAACTAACTAAACCAAAATATGTCCTATGCACACGAAACTAACTAAATCAAAGTGTGTCCTGGCAGTATCGAAAAAAAAATCGAAAAAAACAATAAATTTTCATTTTATAGGTTTAAAAATCAAGTTTTACTAACCAAACTGTAAACCACTTTTATTTAAATCACCGCAACAACTTTTTTTGAAGATAAAATAAAATTTTACTTTTGTTGACATTTTGTATCTTAACAATTTTTTTTTAGTAAATGTCGCTTCAAAAAACGGGTTATTGTAAACTTAATTTTTTGGTCTACACACTTTCCTTCCAGTATGCCAAGTCCACTAGATTCTGATCAAATCAGGGGTTAGCCATGTGTTTGTTGTCTATCATGAACCAATAGAAATTGCATGGCGGTAACATTTATCTTTCTATCTATCTTATTATCCAATCAGAGTTATGAATCCTATAATCGGCGCTGATAGTAAATGAAAATATTTACTTCTACTTAAAACTATAGTGTCCTAGAACATGTTATCTTTAGTGATTCAGGACATGGACCCGCTTTAGTGATTCAGGACATGAACCCGCTTTTTCCAAACATTTAATGGGAAAGTAGACGAATTTTCTTATAGTGGCACTTGCCCAATTCACTGTGGTACCCTTTACAGCTTTGTCTGAATAAAAACGCATAAAATAATTTTCTCTTTAAAATTGATTATTAACCATTGTGGTTTCTCATCAAAGTTACATCTGGGAGATCATCGTTTTGCTTTTAGGTACCAAGAGTCAAACCACGGGCAGCCGTAGTACATTTGAATTTCCGAGCCGGGTCAACCTTTCCAGTCCCAGTTTGTACTGTACTGCCCGGACATTGGGTGAATAAAGCAGACACTCAATGGGACTAGCCGGTGCAACAAGGTTGTCGCGGTCAGACGTTAGGTTGAATTTACTTTTACTAAAGGGTCAAAGGTGCGTGAAGAAGAACTACGATATCACATTGTTTCAAGGATTGTGAATCTGATGTTCCTCTCTCTAAATTAAGTGTCATTTGGAATTGCCACGTCAGTCCCTTTAAGCTAGATTTTGGCCGCGTATTGCTTCAACTAAATAAACAAATAGAAAAGTTAGAAATTATGTTTAGTTAGTGTTTCAGATAAAAAGATAGA